ACACACACACACACACACACACACACACATACACAAACACATCTATACATATTATATTTGTGAAAGTTCGTGACTTTCGTCGCCTAAAACTTCTGAACCACTTAACTTTCCAATTTGACAAAATTAGAGGTGGTACAGAATCATTTAAAGGGTGCACAGTTTCATTGAGGACCCTAAAGTCACTGTAGTTCAAGGTTCAGCTTTTCATTAGTTTCGTTTAGATCTAATCTTGTGATGAAAGTCCGTCTTCTAAGATACCATTGCAAACAAGTGAGGTTTCCGTTCACTATCGTACGCACTGTTCCACGTCTTTGAAATTATGGAGTGTACAACCACAAAAGCGGAAGAGAGAATCAATCTATACATCTATTATATATTTGGCAACTTGGAAACACATGACATGTGTCACTTTATTGCTCCATTCCAGTAGAGTGTAAATACTGTTGGCGAATGACTTTCAGTTGATGTTAATGCACCGATCATTCCTTTCATCGAAAGTGGGCCCAGCTAGTATTTAATATTAACAATTGCACACAAAATTAAATCTCACATAGTATACATGTTTGGGTGATAAATGCCCACTTGATAAACCCTCACAGTTAAACTCATGTGCAGTAGAAGTATAAAAGAAAGTAGGCCTACACGAAAAAAGATTACCACCAAACATACACAATTATTATTAAATTTTAAAAAAATGTTCTATCACAAAATAAATAGTCACACAATAAGTGATAACAGAACAGAATTATGATCTCAATAATATAGGAACAAGATAAATGATAACAAGAGAAATGATCTGAAGATAGATCATAAAGATATAAATAGTCCCAAGATAAATCATCACAAGATAAATACTCACATGATAGATAACCACAATTGTACTAACAAGGCAGAGGGTCGCAAGATGGAGGATGACTAGATAAACAGTCGCAAGAAAATCACCAACTCCACCCACCCCACCCCTTCAACCCCCAATCTTTTACAATGTCTTAATTAGTTGCTATATCATACTGCCATTGGAGACTAACTGGGAAAACAAGAAGGGGTACACCAGCAAGAATTTATAGAAGCACAATCAGAGAAGAGGCAATCGTCCAGGGCCTAGAAGTAGACAGGACAGACACGTGTGGCGATGACTGTTTTTTTTGGTGTTTTTTTTTTGGGGGGGGGGGGGTTGCCTTATGTACCTGACGGTATGGGGAAAGAGTATGTAGTAAGTATTTAAATCTGTTAGCTGGGACAGAACTTTTGAGCGAAATTAGACAACAGTCGTATCTTTTTTTTCTTTGCTTGAAAAACTTACAACACGAAGACGGAGCACGTGGATTGGGGGCGTCACTATGAAGTCTTACTTCTTTTTTTCCCCTGTTTTCCCCTGTTTTATCTAGATCTAGCACGTCTTGCCTTTTTTCCGTTCACTATCTTACATGTATGACAATCGTCGCACCCCATGTGCTTCTCTTTACTCTATCTTTATACTAAGAAATTGGATGGTTAGGGGGTGCTCTGGTCCCGTTTCCTCCTTCTTTCCTATCAAACAAATATCTATCGTACTTTTCTCTCCTCCTTCTTTTCTTAGTAGTTCCTCTCTTGTAATATGGTACTTCTAATCTCGGACCGTTATTGTCTAATTGTGTTGCAAGCATCGTAAAAATGACGTAAAACCCTTACAAAAATCAAAATTAATTTGAAAAGTCTTGGGTCATAAACTCAGCTTTTCCGAGTCTTAGCACAAACCCGTACCACGAGAAAATCCACGCGATCTGTAGAAGCGTATAAAATTCGTTTTGTTTGAAAGTACGGACATCAAAATGACAGGTTTAAAAAAAATGCAAATTCTGTAGATAAACTCACCTTAACAAGACTGTGAATACCTCTGCCAAATCGGGAAAAAACTGTTTAAGGGAGGGTATCGGCTGTGCTCAAACCTCGATATCAGAAACTGAGAAAACCTCTAAACGCTCAACACAACACACACCGCATAAAGTATTGTCAAGCGAAAACAAGAATAATATCCTCAACAAGCTGTCCAGATGTCCAAAGGTTAACCTCTTTGTCCTAAACCGAATAAAAGAAACTTTTCAGGGGAGAAAAAAACACGGTTTCAATTATTTTTTTTCACAAACTGTACAAACGTTATGAAGTATCTGTTCTTGCTTTTTCAACATTTAAAATTTGAATTTCGGCAAAAACATTTCACAAGTATATTATGCAACAAGTAACTCAGATTAAGAAACAGCTACAAACAACAACAACGAAAAAGAAAGAACAGAACAGAAAAATTGTGGGCTTAGTACATGTGAATAGTCGGTCGACAATATATCCTACATTCTGTCGTGTTCGTTTTGACGCCAAAGGCCCGAACTGACGAGAAGTCTCCTGAGTTAAGAGCCTTAATGAAGTCAGAGAGAAGAGAGAGCTATTTACGTCACAGACAGCCACAACTTGTCTATTTTTAGCTCATTTTCTTCGTTTCCAAGTTTTATAATACAGACTGTTTGAAATATTGCGAAAAGAGAGGGCGGGAGACAGAGAGAGAGAGAGAGAGAGAGAGAGAGAGAGAGAGAGAGAGAGAGAGAGAGAGAGAGATACAAATACACCGCGGGATGTTTTTGACA